TTTCCTGTTCTCCTTATATCGTGATCTCCTGGCCACCTATTCTCCTATGTCCCAACTCAAAGTTATCTTTTCCATATTTGCCCATTCCCGTATTTTTCCAATATTACGTTAAAGTAATGCCCCAGGATTAAATTTGTGTGGCTCTTGCACACGAAGTGCGAATGTATTGGTGCGAAATGGGCCGGCAGTAAAGAAAAAAAGAAAGAAAAACGCTTAGGTTAAGGGCTCACTCACCTTCGTAATCGGCTGTGCTAAGGGAATGAGAGACTAAGCGCGGAGAGGAGAGTATGAGGCGAGAGAGCGCAACAGATGAGAGGCGCCAGACAACAAATTGCAGCTGCTGCAGCTTACTTTGCAAGGCCCTAGCGCTCTTGTCGGGTGATTTCCGTGCACGGGAGTGCCACATCTGTGATTGTCCTCTAGGGGTCTATCCTACAGACCGAAGGGAATCGTTCACACGACTTCTGCCTGGGTTGTGCCTTCAAGATAAACGTGGCCTTACCCACATTCAGAGTGTGAACGATTCGAGGCATACGCTTATTTTTACCCCGAAACAGTTCTAGAACATTTCCTGCATTAGTTTGCTTGAAATTTTGATTCATGTGAAAGTTTGTCACGTGACCTCGTGCCCACTTGCTACATTTACTCTCAAAGGAGTCCAGGCGGAGGTCATAGGAGTTCATAAGCCATTACAAGGCAAATGAACCGGTTGTGAATCGTTAACATCTGCGAAGTCAATTCTTTCTCAGCAATCCCAAATGGGAGCGAAGGAGCCATAATTCAAGGATTAATTCATAATTTTCCGAAGTTTTCACTCTTATTATTGTTAGATTCATTGGGGTAGACCTATGAGTGTTCAGAGTTGGCGATCGTACGTGCGATTAGGCGACTAGTCGATTGGGCGATTTGTCCATAATGAAAAACATACGTATAAATTAGGGCGGAAGTGGTGTAGTGGCAAGTGGCACGCTTACCACGCGAGCGGTCCGGGGATCAAATCCTGGGTCGTGAGTCGCCCGGGCCAACCAAGCCTTCCATCCCTCCGGGGTCGGTTAATTGGTACCAGACTTGTCCCACATCGCATTCAAACGCCACTACGAATGTACAAATGGAAGTAGAATGCGTGCCGCATCCCAAAAAGGGATTGATCAACGGCAAATGCTTTATCCTTTTTTATTTATAGGCTAGGCGAGTAGGCGATTAGGCGGGAAGAAACATACGTATTGATTGGTTTGCTCCGCCCATAGAAGCGTTGTAGGCGAGTAGGCGATTAGGCGAGTAGGCGATTAGGCGAGTAGGCGATTAGGCGATTAGGCGATCGCTCAATGGGCGGAGCAACAAATCAATACGTATCCTTCTTTCATCGCCTACTCGCCTACTCGCTAATCGCACGTTCGATCGCCAACTAGCGCTCCATTAGACTTTTCGCTAAGATGTTCTGGGCTCTGGTCCCATATGGATAGAAAATAAAGTAGTTGCCGTTGATTAATCCTTTTTGGGGTGTGGCGGTTCTAGTACTTCCACTTGCAAATTCTTAGTGGCACCTTGAATGTAATTTGGCCTATTCATTGACTTGTGGGGCCAATGTACAAGTCAGGGGTCTTTATCCTTGCAGAAGAGTGTGGTGGCAATTAAAGGAGGAATTCACGATTAGAATGAAGGTCGAAGAAAGGGAAACTGACCTAGTTGAGGGACCCACGGACCTCCTGAGGGTGCGAACTGACGCGCAATTCGCATGGAAAAATTTGACCTCGGCGACCTATCATGCCTCAAAGCTGGCGGGTCCGGCGATCTCCGCCCACCGATCATCTGATCACTCGCCGTAGTTCAATACGTGGCGAGTGATTAGATAGCTGAGAGAGCGTAGTGTTGAAGAGGGCACAGCGATGAGAGTCGCATCAATGCTCAAATCAACGGGCAAGGAAGGGGTCCCATTTCTCGGGTTCTGGGCCGTTTCTCATATTCTCTTCCTTCTTTCGTGTACCACTCACCATCCCTAGGTTAATTTGAAATGGGTTGCTTATTATCGTGAATTCGTAATTTAAGTGAGCTGAAGGAAGATAAATGCTAAGTTGTCCGGCGAGGTACGATCCAGGACTTGATTCCCGACGCGCATTGATAAGCACCGCACTTGCCCCCACACAACTTGCGCCCTCCACCACACCTCTTCCCGCCCCATACTTCGTCTTGAACGTTTTGTATGGCAAATAAATGGTTGGTCCATTTCAGGTCCTACCGACGCGAGTAAAATTGATAATGATAGAACAAATTCTTCTTGTATAAGCATGCGATCATTTCCAGATAAAAAAGAAACTAATTTAAAAGTGCATTTATTCGGTGAAGCTTTTCTTATTCAACTTTTACTTTATTCCAGGCAAATAAGATCTAAGTTTCTGTGACTGTCTTCGACAATACATTTACAAATTATGACGAATTTTTCTCTTACTTTATCCAGCTTGGGCTTTTTGTGCCCTTTTTTCTGCGGTGGACACACACCTGAAGTGCTTTGCGTTTTATGGTATGTGGAGCAGGAGGATATTCGGCAACAACAGCTCCCTCGTGGTCTTGCCATTCTGCCTTTACTCGGGCCAGAGTCTTCCCACATATCCAGTCGATATATTCGCGTATGTCTGTGTAATAGTCATATGAACCATGGTAGCCAAGCTCTTCAGCATCTGCTGATGTCGCATTGAAATCTGGAACAGAGCATCTGTGAAAAATCCTGAAATTATAAGCTCTATTTCAATTTTTTTCACGCTCTGGGTCCAATCGCATACTTTGAAGGATCTCCGGCAACCAACGAGCTGAGGAACGAAGAATTGCCATTGAACAATCCGCTTCTAAGATGCGCCGCGCACTCTACACCCATTCAAATTGCACATGAATTGCCATTTGTCGTGTACTCCTAATACAATGACGCGAGGGGGATGAAGGGAGCGGGGTGGAGTCTTGGGTAGGGAGGCGCCAAGATGTAAAAGTTTTGATCAATATGAAGTGCTTTGGCCTATTTGCATCATTTGGAGAGGGCAAGCTGGAGCAGCAAACAGATATTGAATCCTGGAAATGTACACTCAAAAATGCTGCTGTTTCGCGAGGCGTCACCTTCCGCTCAGAGACCGGATCCACTCCTTGTGTGCGATGGGACAAAATTCGTGAATGCGAAGCCGGCAAAGCGCTCATTATCTTGTTCATCACTGTCTGATATCTAATATAAGCTTACCATGCCCACTGGTCCCCCACTCGTAATTTACACGCGCGTCAGACAACCGTCGATGTTCTCTGTACTTACTCCAACCCTTCCCATCTCAAGGTCCAAGTAGTCCTGTCGCAGAAGGGTGCAGCGCAGGGGGGTAAAGAACTATGGCTGGCTCGCTACAGTGCTGCGAGAGAAAAAACGGTGAAGGCACAACAGGGTGAATATCGGTCGAGGAATTCCTCGACGGGGGGTCGTATTTGCCTCTGTGGAAGGCGGAGGGGGTCGTAATTGTCGGTACCAGTATCAAACGAGGCGTGGTAACCAGGTTTACCAGAAGCGGGAAGTCTGCTTTTGATCGGTTAGTGTTTTGATTTTGTGACTGATTTTCACGGAGGGGGTCGTACCGAGACCCCGCGTTTTAGGCGGGGGTCGTATCACAGTTGGGTTTTCCTCGACACGATTTTCACCCTGAGGCACAACTCAGGTAAGTATCAAGAACAATCATAGATGTGTCCCTTCTGTCTGACAAAGGCGCTAGTGCCTAGCAAAGATGGCCACAACAGCTTCAACCCTCCGTTCACAGTAAGCCGTTGTCTGGCGCCCTCGTACCTTTGCGCTTTCTCGCCTCATACTTTCACATCAGTCTTTAATTGTCTTCCCACAGCTGAATTAGGAGGGTGAGCAGGCCCTATACAAAGCGTTTTTCACGAATTCTTTATTTCCTTACTGCCAGCCCATTTACTTGCATTCGGGTCCAAGAAGCCTGCCCGGAAGCTGGATTGGACTCAGTAGAGTGAAATGCCAGATAAATACCCACTATTCATCTGCGGAGCTATGACTTCTGCGGGACCCCAGAATTTATGAGGAGCGGAGCCACCTGGGCAAGAGAGCAGACAAGTCAAGGCTGAACTAGGTTTTCCTAAGTTAGTAAGTTTGGGCGGAATTTCCCTTTCTTTCAGGAATTCCCCACTTGCGAATTACAGTACATTCTGCATCGAATATGAACACCTTGAGGTTCACAAATACCGTATCATCTCTTCCCTGCCCCCCCCCCCCTTTCACCCCACCGCCAACTCGTTGACAGTTCTTCGTTGATAACCCTGGGCGACTTCTGCGACAGCAAGTGGCAAAACCGGGAAAAACGAATACTGGATTAGCATCAGGGTCAACCGTCACGTTGGACCAATTTCGAAAATTTTACGACCCCCCTCCCCCCTTCTAGAGGGCCTCGATACGACCCCCCCCTCAGGGCCAACTCCTCACGACCATCCTCCACCACCCTCGCCTGCCAACTCCGCGTACTTTTCCCTCCAAAATTGCGGGGGGGGGTATATGAAACGGCAAAATTTTCACACTCACACTCAACCCAAAAGCCCAGCCTACAAGAATCCACTATCCGTTCCATAAAAAAACATCCCTTCCCTTACTGTAACATTGACGCTACCTCGCGAAATACGACCCCCCCTTTTCCAGCCCCCAAATACCGCCCCCCACCCCCTCGTTGGACTTTGTCCCTAATTTAGCATTCCAGAAAGCAGGTAAACTTACTGGCTTCACATGAATTACCGCTAGAGGTTATTCCTACTTGAGTAATCTTTTTATGTTTATTCAGCTGAAATAATGGACCTCCACTGTCGCCCTGAATAATGAAAATCACTGGGTGAGCACATTTTTGAAAAACTGATATCCAAGCGAGAACCATTACTCACACCACAGAGTCCAATTCCTAGAGGCGTTTTCACTACAAGACGTTTCTCTCGAGTTCTCACCATAACAATATCTTCAATTACTTGAAATCCTTCTGTTTTTGGGTCAGTGTCTTCCGCTGAAATATAATGATTGAGCTACTCCTGCTTGGGCTCCAATTTTTTATGTGTTGGTTAATCTTTCAATGGCTAGTATGGCCAGGTCCACCTAAGCGCCTCTTGTCTCTCAGGAGCAGGTCACTCATGCGTATGTCGGTCGTCGGGTGGACGTTCTGAGTCCTGTAGAGCGTCTTCCTGTGGCACAATTTGTTCTCAGGTTTACAGAGGCTACTCTATCTTGGTTGAAAGTAGGATTCATGCCAGGGTCTCTTTCCGGGATTTCCCTCTCAATTCCTATATTCAGAACGACTTGGCTTGAAAGCGCAAAAAACGCATGGAACGCATATCTTCTTCAGTGCTGCATATGCATCAGCGGTCTTTAGAAGTAAGTAAAAGACACCTGGACAAAATTATGTGCCGAATGATGAGAGTTTTTATTGGATTTTCAAGCGCTTCTTCGCGACACGCACTAGCGTCGTCTTTGCACCGGCGGGACAGTGCGGCGCGCCGGCGCGCCACAGCCTTTGTGCTTTAGTTGCTCACGTGTGCTCGAATTCTTTCCATTTTTTGTACCCGTCTCGCAGATCATATGGGTTGATAGGAGAGTCAGAGGCGTAATTTCAACGCTTCATTTCTAATTTGCTCTACGATCCTGCTACCGTTCTACATTTATCAGTATCGAAAGTTTGGCATTTTGGTATTAAACGCAATGTAGCTTAGTGATGCATGACTTATGTTCAACGTAATATCGAATGCTGAAACTCACGTCCCGTGAAACCGTTTCCTGCCGCTTTTATGTCATGACCTATCTTGATGTAACTTGGTGGCAAACAAATCGGTGTAGCCATAAAGTTAGGGATATTCTCGTCGTGTTCAAATATGGCAATATCATTGTCTCCAGCACATGCGTCGAAATCCTCATGATAATGTACCTAAATATATTGGGCATTATTCAAAATACATGCCATAGGGTACCCCCAGGAGGCCCGTCGCGCGGCAAGAAGGCAAAGTCAGCGGACGAGTCGCGCGCGTACTATAGGGATTTCGCGTCAAGTTAAATAGAGTGTCCCATTGCACGTCCATCGCACATCACGCGCTGCAACTCGTCCGCCGACTCTGCCTTCTTGCCGCGCGACGGGCCTCCTGGGGGGTACCCACATGCCATACTCAAAGGCACACCCCAGGCAGAAGTCGTGTAAATCATTCCCTTCGCTCTGCGGGGTAGACCCTTATGGAACAATCACAGATGTGGCATTCCCGTGGATGGAAATCACCCAACGAGAGTGTGCAAAGAAAGCTGCTGAAGCTGCAGATTTTCTTCTTTTATCTGTTATCTGGAACCCTCTCATCTGTTGCGCTCTCTCGCCCCGTACTCTCTCTCTCTTTGCGCGTAGTCTCTCATTACCAATCAGCACAGCTGATTACGAAGGTGGGTGAGCTTAGCCTGAACTTTCTGGACGGATTCTTTTCCTTTCTTCTTTTCTGCCGGCTCATTTCGATGCTATGTGGTATGAAACTGCGGTGGGTAATGAAATTGTGGATGCCAAATTGACTGCAAATGAAAAAAGAGATACAACGTAAACCGCCGATGAAGTCCTTAAACAAAGAAATCTCGCCCGAAATAAGGGGGTGTGGCCCGGACGAGTTGTCCAAACTAGCTTGCTCCGCCGGCACTTTATTGCTAACTAGTATCAACAAGAAGCTTCACACGCAGCTGCGCGAGCTGCGCGGCCAGTCATGCAATCTCCATGGCTAGCAAGTGGCGGAGCAAGCAAAGCGGGGATTTGGCGAGTTGGCACCTATCCAAATCCCTCATTAGCGGCTTTCCAATGTACTTTTTGTTTCTGCGACATCGATTGTTTTCGACAAGGGCTAAGGCATCTCGTCGTTCCATTAGTAATACAAGATATCCATCTACGGGTGTTGCTGTAATATGAAATGTATAGCCAATGCCAACCTGTTTTGGTGTCAGCCACCAACTCTTGCACTTCTCAGGATTTCTGCATCGAGTGCCCACAAACATTTTCCAACCCTTCCGCATTTTCCGACTCCGGCTGTGCAACAAAAAACGTTTTGCAGGACTAGCCTTATATTAATTCAGAGAGAGGAAAATGAGAAATCAGAGAAATCAGACCATCCAAGAATTCATTCCTTTTTTACCCATAACGGACGGCCAGTGTATTTTCGCGTGCGCCACCATGTGGCGCACGCCGCCACCCAGGGTAGGGTTTATGTAGGCTTATGTGAACAGCAGGGGTAAGACGGGGCTAAAGTAGGTGTCGGAGTCTCATCATCCGAAAAAAGAGATTTCCGTTGACGACAAGTTCGTAGCCCGCCTTTCCGCTCTAAAACTAGGGTGCAAAGAATGAATGGAAGCTGTAGGTGACATTATCGAAAAATGCGAAACAACAACCCCGAGCAAGGATGTGGCTATATTTAGGGGAAGGGGTCTCGGGACGTGCGAACCATGGGTAAGCCACCCATCAAATAGTAAACTTATGTAAATTAAGACAAAATGTATGTAAAATTTATTGTAGGTTTGTCAAAAATCCAGCCGTCCAGGTCCTGGGAAGATATGTTATTCCACATTGCTGAGAGTATATATCCTACTACTATATATAATGCGCTAAGTCTGTCTGTCTGTCTGTCTGTCTGTCTGTCTGTCTGTCTCTGTCACGAAATTCCGTATTAAGCGGACAACAACCTACTGGGTCCAGGTCATGTTTGGGATGGGTGTACCATATCTCGAGAAGTAAAAAACATACATTACCTAAGCGGAGCCCCGCCCACAGTGGGCGTGGCGTGCGTCGAAATGAGTGGTACTGAGGACCATGATTTCAAATTCAGTCACAAAACAGCCTCGAGACCGGGACAAAAGTGGGCATAGGTGTGGGTTGGTAAGCCAGATTGAACTGAGGAGACCACCACCCTCGGTGGGCGGGGCGTTCTCTAGACAAAATGGTGCCTTCAAGAAAATATTCCCTAATCCGTCTACGAGGAAGCCCTAGTACAGCAGACTCGAGGTGAAGGACACGAAGTTACGTGCCAGGGGGAGCACTACCTCTAAGCGTTATATTTCCACCACGCATGATGTGAACGGAGGCCCGCCCACAATGGGCGGAGCGTGTCGTGAAGCGGACAGCATTTTCTACAAGAGCTCATAAATCGGCTCCGAGATGACTTAGAGACCGGAAAACAACGGATAGAGGTCAGGAGGGGAGGGGAAGCTAAATGTCAGGGAATGGGCGTGGCTTACATCAAAGTGGGCGGAGTTTGCAATTAGGCTTATAACTCGGTTCCTAGGAGTCCCGGAGTCCGGGAAAAAAGCGTATGAGGGTTGGCAGAGGGAAAGGGGTCAACCGTTGTTGGCGGGCGGAGCATGCACCAAAGTGGGCGGGGTTTGCCACGGTACTTCATAACTCGGTTCCAATAAGTTCCAGAGATGGGAGAAAAGTAGAAAAAGGTTGGGGAAGAGATGATAGCCGACTGATATCAGTGGGCGACCCACGCACCAAAGTGGGCGGGGTTTGCCACAAAGATACGTAGCTCGATTTCGTCCCCTACAAGACCTCATAATTCTGCTCCGAGACGACTTAGAGACCTGAAAAAAATGTGCCAGAGGTGAAAGTAGGAGTAGAGGTTGAATGTGAACGCTGGGCGTGGCACACCCGGATGTGGGCGGAGTTTGCCACCGCTCTCATAACTCGGTTCCTAGAAGTTCCGGCGACCGGGGAAAATGTGCATAAGTATTGAGGTATGGAGTAGGGTTGACTGCCATTGTTGGGCTAAGCATGCATCAAAGTGGGGCGGGGTCTGCCCTCAGAATCGCTGGGCTCATATAACTGCACTCTTACCAAAGACCCCTCATCAATTCGGACTCCGCGCACCGATGGCTTAGAGACCTGAAAAAAAAATACGCCAGAGGTGAAAGTAGGAGTAGAGGTTGAATGTGAACGCTGGGCGTGGCACACCCGGATGTGGGCGGAGTTTGCGGCGTAAGTAAGATGTACCGAGCAGAAAGCTAAAATCAAGACAAAAATACTGATGGGCCCGATTTTACCGCTGCAGCCCCGTCTCATGCACGCGAATGCGTGCGCAGCCAAACTGGTAGGCTCCATAATCTAAGATCGCTAGAAACATTCCAAAACAAAAGGAATAGTCGTGCGCCACCTTGTGGCGCACGCCGTCCGTTATGGGTTAAACATGTTTACCTCTCATCCTCCCCGCCCTCTTCAAAGGGAAAAAGTGGGTGGGGCTGGAGCGTGTCGAGTCGTCTCAAATCGAAATATTTGTGGGGAGGGGATCGTGTTGGAGAAGGGACCCCTTAAGGCTTATGATGGTGGCGGAGTGTCTAAATTTTCGAAAAAAAAATCAACGCTCGGTCACCCCAACGGGAGGAGCGTTTATATGTGTCCGCCTATTTGAGGTTCTGGTGTGTAGTTGAGAGGGTCACGTAGTTGGTTCAGAGACATCTTGACGCCACCAAAACATAGAATGGGAAAGGGGTCGTAGGATGTCGCGTGGGAAAAAGTAGGGATGGTCGTAATGGCCGGATATTCTCTCCTAGAAATCGTGGCTGGACTCGTTTACGCCATTTCCAGGCATCTCAAAGCGCCCACGCATTTAATTCCAATGCCAACTAATGCCATTTGCATACCTGTGGTTTCTGCTGCTTGCAAGCTTCTTAGCCTGTCGCAGTTTAACTGCGCAAGAGTGTCCGAGTCACATCAATGATACTGGCTCGTGAGAAGGGGGTGTGCGTGACGTTATGGAAGAATGAGTGATAGCCGCTACATTCAAAGGCCTGCAATTGCAAAGTGGCTGCACAATGCCTTCGACCTCTCTGTCAGCAGTCGATTGCATGCCATTAAAATGTGATTTTTTCTTATCTTTTGGAAGAAATAATTAAGTTTAAAATAAGTGGAGTTGGAGGAGGGTCAAAATGCCTACTATGTGCCTCAAAAGAAAGAAGCCGAAGCTGAGTCACACCCCTTACATGTGGCCCATGTGTTTGCAAAGCCGGTAAGCCCGCGACCTATAAAGCAAATGTCCCTATCAGGCCTAATTCCTAGGGGTGCGTGCCACGCCAATATTTTAGTTGATGCGCGCCCAAAGCTCGGCCAGAACCCCTCAACCTCTAACTAGACTTAGTTGCGCGAACAGACAGGGAAAGCCTTTGCTGATGGCATGTGACTTTGCCCACATGGTGTGAGCTTCAAACATGACAGAACAGACGGTTCCTTCCATGGATCTCCTTGTCCCAGTTTCTTCTTATTTTGACACACTGTTATCAAAGCTTCCACTATTCTCCGTGTCCAACCGTGGAGACGATGTTATGCAGTATCGCCTGCCCTCTTAGACAGAACTACTGTAAGTAGTGTGAAATAAGGCAGTCAAAACGTCGGATAGATGTTTCAAACGTTAAGTACTGTACGCGACCCCGACAGCAAGAGGGCTCTTTATTCGTATTGCGTAGCATTGCGCTCGTGTTCTTGAAATATTCGAGGCGGAGTAGATTGGAAGCAGAAGGGGGGCATCCTAAGCAAGCATCTTATCTCGTATGGAACTGCTGACGCATCCGTTTTTAGATTTTTGGTGAAAGCGCTTTGCTGGGCTGCCATTACATCAATTGGCCACCGACCGCACTCCGGCCCGAACACACCCCTTAATTAGTCTTCATGATGAAGCGGGCGGTCGAGGGGGGGGGCGCGGCAGAGTGCCCTGCTATCAGGACATGCTGACGGTGGGAGAAGGGGGTTACGGGTGACCCTACCTGCGTGCCGCTTTGACCCCTCCGGTCGGTGCGAAAATGGTTCAGACCACACGCATAACCCCCTGCTGGGATTGCGAATGCCGCATTTTTTGCCTACGAGCGCCGACGTGTAGAGACGTTGTGGTAGCGTAACCCCAGGCAGCGAGAAAATTGAAAGCTAGCACTGCTATATTCCCTTTGAGGGGGACCTAGTCCACCCTTCGATGATAACCGCTGACCCACGTCAAGCATGCGCTGCCTGTGAGTAAGAAAAGCGCTGAGGTTGGCTGTCAGACCTTCTATTAACATTTGGCGTTGCTTCGAGAAGTCGCGCTGAGAGGTACGGCGATCTTGCAACGCAATCCTTATGTGGGGAAAGGGGAGGACAGCATCGAGAATAGGGAAGGGCTGCATACATTCCAAATTTGCTAATTGCCGTAAATGGCAACTTATGTTTCTCTTACCGTCCATGACCAACGCAGCCAACCATGGATATTGATATTTGCTTGACCGCTTCGCCGCCGAATGCCTTCTTTGATAGGACGTATCCTGGAATGAAGCATAAAGCATTTGGCGTTCACCATCAGTCCCATTTTCCGAGAGAAATTCTCTTTTCGAGTGAGTTGGAGCTGTCACGAGCAAAATCAAGCGATTAGGGAGCTATTGCCTTCGCTTATCCGCTGCTACCGCTGCAATCTCGTCAATCGCAGAATAAGTGCTCTGCCCTGTCTCGCGTACAACATGTCCACTTGCGTAGTCTTTCTACTGGGTGCGCTGGGTCTCATCGTCCCACCGCACTATCTCGACCTCACAAGGACAATTTCAGTGATTTCTGCTTTTCTCAACAACTTTTCTCTTCACATTTCTTGCTATATTTAAAACAAAGAAATCAATACACGGCTGGACATAACTTGTACCTTTTTATAGGAGCTGGAAGCAATTTGTTAGTACCAATGTTTTGAGAAAAAAAATACTTACTCAGGTTTTCGTCTCCACATGTTTGAGCGAGTTTTGCGTTTTCTTCAGGCGTTAGTTTTTTGGGAGATGTGTGAGTGAGAAGAAATAACAAAGTCCAAGCCTATTGCCTTAATAACCAATCTTGAGTGATAGGCGGTCTTTGGGGGAGGGGGACATTCGAAACAAGGCATTTGAAAACCGCCGGTAAGTCGCACTAGGACCAAACGCAGGGAGGGTAGGAACGCCAGGAAGATTAAAAATTGCTCACATCCCAAAATCCTTTCTCCTACCTGAAGCTTGGACCCAGCTACTGTGGGTGGCCAACCCATTTG